CTCTCCCCCTCCCTCCCTCTCCCCCTCCTCTCCCCCTTCCTCCCTCTCCTGAGGGTAGTACAAATGGAAATCCATTTGTACGCGGTTCCTTTGGCTTTATTTAAGACACAAGCTCTTTCACACGGGCTGGCTGTAAATTGCAGCCAACAGGAAGCCAAGATGAAACACCTGTTTTAGGAGATGACATGTGTACAGACCACACGGCATTTTTTCTAACATCTTTATATGGAAGGGGATTTTGAATTTAATCTCAAAGTTAATTATTTCCAGTTCTTCATTGCTCCAGGGTGTTCAGTCGGATTGCTTTCTAGTCAAATTCTATCAGGATTTGTATAGCCACACTTCTCGATCCAGGTTTTAGCATAGCTCCACTACCAAAACAATCTCAGTACTATATTCTAAGGCCAGATTTTTAAAAGTCCATATAATCAGTACAATTCAGGTGTGTCTGAAGTTGCAAGGCTATAGCATTGTAGGTCACCTAAGAAATGATATTGGACTATAATTATATAGATCTCTCTATTTCAGGGACTGTTTGTAACTACCTCTCCAGATGTCTATGGAGGAGCATTTTTCACCCTACTTAACCATAGAGCAATCCATTCTAACATTTAATCAGTCATAAAAGGCAAACATCTTATTTCTCCAAACATGCACATTAAAAAAAAATCCCATTTCAATCATTTGAGAGCTCTATCCCATATTAAGTTCTGAGAAGATTGTGAAATACTATCAGGCACAAGCAAACACAGCCATTTGTAAATAGATACATTATTGCACAGTAAACAACTTTATTGATTTCTACCCATGTTTTAAGAATCTCCCTAGACTGCTTGCCCTCCCCTGAGAATGGCCAGCTAAGGTTTTATTGGTCCTGGGAGAGGTCAAGCTTATGTCATTTGCAGTTGCACAATGATTTCAAGCTGTATCTCTGCTTGACCCTTCCTTACAGCCTAGTAGCTGTTTCCCAACATCCACAAGTGATTATCACATAGGCAAAAAGATACACATTTACATGAGTGGAACCATTCTTCATTTAGTGACTACCTTAGTGACCATTCACAAATATGACAATAAAGTCATTTTCTGACCAATGCATCCATTTATGACCAAATTTCATGCACCTGACAATGCACACTGAAGTAATATGAGAACTTCTGAAAGATGGTGACAACCACTAACCTTTTCATCTCTCTCTCTCTCTCTCTCTCTGTCAGCCTTCAAGATATCTTCTATTGCTATGCATCTTTCTCTCTGCTCTACATCTTTCGGCTGTCATTAGCAATGGGGGAGGGAGGGATTGGAAGGGAAGAAAGCTGGAGGTGTTACATTCCTGTGCTGTAAATGAGAAGGAGGAGGGGGAGTATAAAATTCTTGTTCTTAAGTTTCTGTTTCCTTGCTCAACTGTCTTTCTACTGTGCAACTGCTAATTTTTATCAAAATATGTCAAGGTCAACGGACAGAAGCCTCATCACCACCTGCAGATGCCCACATGATCACATTCAGAACTTTTAATTGGAGGAAGATCTTGGACTTTGGGGGGTGGGATCAATTTAACCCCTTTGTATATGTGATCTGCGCGCCTAATTTCTTAGATTCAGAATTCTACCTGTAGCTACAACTTTAAAATTCAGTAAAAGTCTCTCCTCTCTCTCTCTCTCTCTCTCTCTCTCTCTCTCTCTCTCTCTCTCTCTCTCATACACATACACCCACACTGTTCACTTAATAGCAACCATTTCGCTTAATAACCTAGTCAAATGGGATAGAACTTAGTTGCTAAACAAGAAATGGGTGTACCTTCAAACAAAACCACTCTTATCAAAAATTGTTTGTATATATTCCATTTTTACTGGTTTGAAAAAAGTAAACATTAACTATTGCTGGACTTTAATTTACTAGCGACAATTCCTTACCACACCTAGACTTATCGATACCTACTTTGACCTCTCCAAAGGAATATTTTAATGCAATCCTAACAATTCACCCAATGACATTTCCTTCTAGCAGAATTAGATTGTCCATTCCCATCAGGTTATTATGTGTCTACAGAATAGACCAAGCAATGTGTTAAAGTGGATAAAGTTGCCATCCCTCTCTTGTAAAGTAGTCTGCAAAATACACAATCCTTTAAACAATTTCAAAAGTTTTATTCACAAGTGCAACTAAAAGAAGATCTCAGTAGACTATTGGCTGTCCAGCAGCTAGACTTTTCAGGAATGTCTAGGAAGCTCATATAGTAAGTTTGCAACTAAATTTATAAATAAAAGAGTGAGCTTTGGACCTGCAATACTATCCGTAGTGAACATTTTGACTGGCATATAAGATTTGCTTTATTAGATTTGCTTTATTTTTTTTTACAAAATATAATTGTAGGACTTAAAAAAAGATTTACTGTCTATGTGCTTCAAATGTTCACACCTAAACTGTATTTTCTATATCTCTATTACTCATCCAAAAATAAAGCAGGCATACCCTTTCTGAACAAATATGTTAAATATGTTTAACCTCCCTGCTACTGCATTGGAAGGAGATATAATCTGATTTGAAGACATGTTTTCCTCAACTTCCGTACTTCATTAAATTTTATCTGGTCGGCTTGTTTAATACAATATATTTTGCTCAAGTTGTGTTCTTTGTTGGGAACAGAACCCCAAGGTAGGACCCAGCTTCTTAAGATCTTTTCATGAACACCAGTTACCCACTGCTGCCTAAGAAGTCAACTCTTTAAACACTCCGCAAATGGTAATTTCTGACTTAAAAAAAATAAAACAGTAGGATACCAGATGTCTTTAAAATTGAATGGATATAAAAGTTGAACAAAGAAAACTATGGATATTCAGAAAATCCAAGGGAGAAAATATGCCAATCAATTTAAATAAGGACTTGACATCCTCCTGATGCATTGGAATATAACACCCAGAATCGTGGGACTACGTATTAGTACCATGCATCAAAGCATCAAAATTAAGGAAGTTCATTTTGAAGATTTGGTCTGCTTAAAGTTTTGTCATGGTCTGCTTAAAGTTTTGTCCTCTTCTGAAGTGTATGTCTGATTGGGTTTATGATTTATAGCTGTTGGGTTCAGAGAGGATTAAGGTGGTTTATGTTGTAATACAATATTATACAGTGTTCTCATAGACTGAAAGATCCAAGCCAACACCATGATTCCTTGGAGTCATGATATATTAGGTAAACATATGACTTAAATATATATATTAGGTAAATGGGCACTTTTCAGACTGAGATACATTTCAGTTATTTGAGTGACTAGCATAGCCTGGTCCCCGATAGCCACTAGCAGTAAAACTAAAAGATCGAGTATTTTTTCCTCCAACCAGACGCTTCTTGGTGTTCTGATGCCTTAAATTGATTCCAGATTCTTGTGCTCTGGTCCGATCTAAAGATGGATCCTTTTGAAAGGCCTGGGCAACTCGGGCTGCTCTCAGCTCTCTACACAAAAATAAGACAACAAGATTAATAAACAATCCAGTGGACCATAAAGAAATGAATCTTTCCCAAAACTAAGGATGCAGCTCAGTATGTGCAATTTTCTTAATTCAACAGATGCTTCCTTATCTTGGAATATGGTGATCTCTTAAACCAGACCAGAGTTGCTGAATTCAAATTCCATATGCTTCCTTGTGACTGAGAGTGCTTTGCAAAAGAGAGCAGCATATGGTTTTTGGCTCGTGAAATAAATGCCAATTCATTCTGTATAACCAGCACAGACTCATGATGCTGAAAAATCATCCTAGGTCTTATTTTTTGGTTGGATTTTATTTTCAGAGAAACGTAGTACTCTGGTCAAGGAACAAGCATGGGTCTTTATTTGAAAAAGTGAGCTGGGACAGCACAAACACCAATTTAATTTAAATTAATATTACTATTTGCAATATTTTTCCTGTCTGAATATTACATAACTGGTTTGTCACTTTTTAAAGAGGCTCTTGGGGGGGGGCTTTCTGTTTCATGCATATATAGTGTGAAAGACAGCACTTAAAAGGAGATTCACAGCAAGGATTAATGGAAAAGTCAACAATAAACAACTTTATCCTTTCAAAACAATATAATTTTAACCTTTCAAGAAAAACTCTGCCTGTATAATGTTTTGTTAAAGACTACAAAACCAACATATTTATATTCTATAATGGTTGATGGTGATAAAGGGATCCGAGTATAAAATTCAATACAAGTTTAATAGTAGCTAGAATAAATTCTCCTCAGAGGTAGGAATTAGTTTCCAAACCACACTGTACACAATTTACACATCTTTCTTTTATATTAGAAAGCACAAGACTTCACCTTTCCAGCATAGCAGTTTTGAATTTCTCCACATTGAGCTGTTCCTGAAGCTGGGCAGCCTTGCCAAGAGATGGTCGGAGGAGAGGGTGCTTGGTTAGTGCAGCAGCTGATGGCCTCACAACTGGGTCAGGATGAATCATAAGCTGATGTTCCACAAAACAAAGGAGGAAGGTCTTTTACCACCAAACTTCCAAGGCCAGTGTTCTCCTTGGCTCCCCCAAAAGAACTCACCTTGAGCAGTTCTATGAAGTCACATGACAGTTGCTGAGGGATACGTGGAAGGGTGCCTCTGCGGATGTGGTGCCAAGGGGTGTCATTGGCAGGCAACGGGCCAGCACCTGCCGCCAGAGCAATAGTTAAGGCAAGAGCAAAGATGTCTGCCTTGGGCAGATAGCAATATTGCTATGGAGGAAATAAGAGAAAACCCATGCAGTCATGTCAGGTCACATTCAGTTAAGAAAACAATATCTTAAAAACACTAATGCATAGGTTTACATAAGTGGCATTCCCAGAATATTCTCTATATATATTTGTAGGAATTACAGCATTTGATGTTGACCAGAAGATGTGTAAGAAACATTTTCTTTAAATGTAAATCTGGTTACTAGGTATTCATTGACATGAAATACAAAGGTCAAACACAAGTAGCAAAAATACTAGAATGTTCCTATATTAGCTATAATTTTGGAATGGGCAACTTTTTCTCTAGAAGTGTGGAACTACCACTAGCGTCAACCCTTACCAGAACTACAAATGATTATGGATAGAAGAGTGTAACAGTGTTTTGTGTGCCTTTGGCATATAGTTATATTGGCTACATTACCACAGAAGCATCTTCAGACAGCAAAGGTTGAAGTTGTGAATCAGAAATGAGCACCACTCTCTAGAATTGGATGTGACTGGTAAGGAAAACCTTTACTTTTTTACTACATCTGAACACCAATTGATTCCTGACCTAGTTTTAATGTATTCTCATTTCATGCTATTAATTTTAATTTTTTAAAACCTACATGTACTCAGATAAGTTTCTAATAACTGCAAATGAGCCAATACATTTGGACCTCTTAAGAATGTAATGCCTCAATTCTTGTCCAGGGACTTTTATTAAATTAAGATTAATGTATGAACCTGACCATAATAAAAGGAATAATCTTGGAAATGTCAGGAAAAGTTTCTTCTGCTTTGAAGGTTCCTAATGCCCTCTGACTTTTACCTCTTGCAAGACTTCATTGGCCAAGAAGCGGCAATCTCCCTCCTCTACTTGTGGATTGGTTATGGACGTCACATGTCCAAGATCCCCTGCCAAAAGAGCATTGTCAGCAACATAAATCATTACATGCATTACAGTGGTAATTTTTTTTATTACCGGTTCTGTGGGCGTGGCTTGGTGGGTGTGGCAAGGGAAAGATACTATAAAATCTCCAGTCAGAGGTGGTATTTGCTGGTTCTCCAAATTACTCAAAATTTCTGCTACCGGTTCTCCAGAACTGGTCAGAACCTGCTGAATACTCTGATGCATTACTGATTTTCAAAGGTTTCTTTTTTGGGGGACTTGTCCACTATGCCTGTAGCTGGAATCTATATTGGAAAATTCTGTGGCATATATAATAACTGCAATTAAATAGGTATCATAGGAGCATGAATATATCTCATGTCTACCTTATCTCAATCTGCTGTCTTCTAAATATATTTGACTTCAGCTCTCCATAGTGGATTTCATCTAGGTTCTTTTCCTAAGAAAATGAGTGTGCCTAGAATCACTAGGTGTAGCACATTTGAAAGTGCAGGCACAGCACTGCAGTGCCAGGACAGAGTTTGCATTCCAGCAGAAGATGCTTTTTTCTTAAACATTGGATAGCTGATCCACATGGATCCTTTTCTATAAAACATTATCCTTCTCTGAACCTCTTGTTATCACAGACTACTTATGACTGAATGTAAAGACTATCTGATTTGCTTCTTAATAACACATTATAGAATACATTCCAAAAATAGAACAATTATCACTTTGGCTATATTTTTATTGTGGACTGTAACCCGGGCAAAGAAGCAATGGTTTCACTGATCACACTTAATCAGCAATACACTAGCTGAAACCCACTGACTTATAAATATGATAGTTTAAAAATATCTAATGCAGACTGCTCTGACACAGCAATTGGGAAACATAGGCAAAGTCTATGTTGGAAATCATTTGACAACAAGTGGTCCAAAAAAACCAAAACCCAAGACACACACCAATTTTATATACCACGTTTGAAGTCGTAACTTCATCATCCTCCCCATCACTCTCCTCTTGACCCACAGACCCAGGTAGACGATGGCATATAAAAATATTGCCTGCAATCAAGGAGAAATTGTGTTAGCTTGCAGTATGCATTCAGATAACTTATATCAGCTACAGTGAATGTGGCTTACAAATTGTAACCATCTGCACATCATAAAAGCACCATTAAGAAAAATATAGAAGTATGAACTCTGTTTTTTGTGAAAAACAGTCTTGTCCTAGGTGGCAAGATAACCAGAAAATCAGGATGTGAGCAAAAAAAAAAAGGATATGTATTACGATATTGTGCAAATAGTCCATTAGTCATTGCATGCAGCAAGGTACTAAGTCAAGATTTGTTTAATAGTGTTTTTTTAAAAAAATTACCATTGAGTGGTTTATACAGCACATTAAAACCAAACAACTACATTATTGCATAATATTTTAAAACCCATGGCAGAAAGAGAGAAGGTCTATTAAAGATCATGCAACTTGAATCAGTCAATAATTTATGGGTGAACTTTAATTGAGAATCTGTAATGACCTTTCATAGCTCTATTCTAGAATGCTTACAATTCCAAATAAATATGAGAGGAAATCCTAAAACCTTAAGTGATCATGACCCTATACTAGTTTCACCATCAAGTTTGAATTTGGCGTAGTCACAGGGTGGAATTCTACCGGTTCAGACCAGTTCAGGCAAACTGGTAGTTCCGGTGAGCATTTGGCCTCGCCCACCCACGCTCTTTCCTGTGCTTTATTTCGTTGTTTTAGAGCGCAGCTGATTCGCATGGCAGAGCTCAGCTGTTTTATTCACAGGGGCTGCAGTAGAAGGTAAGTATTAGAGCTGAAAATGGGCTTTTTAAAACACGGAACCCGTGCTCACCGAACCGGTTGTTACACTGGTTGAATTGCACCACTGTCTAGTCACTCTAAGCAAAATATATACCATAGAGTTGTGGAAGGAAGGAAGGAAGGAAGGAAGGAAGGAAACATTTGTATATATCACCATGAGGTACTGAAAGATGGACCAAAATGCTCATAACTCAAATGATTTAATAACTCATATGAATAAAGCATTACTGACCAGACACACTTACTTGGTTTGATATCCATATGAACCAGGCCAGAAGTGTGAATGTATTTCAGCCCCATGGACACTTGCAATAAAATTTCCTTCAGCTCAGATTCTTTGAAATGATCTGCTGTCTTTGAATTTTCCAAAAGTACATCCTGAAGGCTCCCACCTGTGGAAAACCAAGCATTCATTCATTCATTCGTCAATTTCTATAGCCATCCATTTCAATCAGTGACTCTGAGCAGCTTATAATTCAAAAATATATATTACAATTAAATACTAAATCACATAATAAAAGCAATAAAATATTCATACATAGAAATATTATTTTGTGTGCTATTGGATGGTACATAGACCCCTGTGTCAATCATTCTATCTGGAGACTTTTACACAGATATTATTACCATTCTCCACACCCTCAAAGCTGTTTATTGCAAATCCCACAGTTATACTTGCTGTTGGGATAACAGCCAGAGATGACTTTCCAATTAATAAAAAAGAAGTGCAGATGTCATCTATTTTCCCCAAGAATTTGTTTTCTTCTTGTTTAGTACTGCCACATTCATTGACAAGATGAAAAAGAGAAAGAAACCAATAGGCTTGCACAAAATCTGGTGCAAGGGCACCATGGCACTTTGGAAGGAGGGAGGGAAATCATGCTCTCACAAATAGGAAGACTGCCTGATCTTAAGTCCTAAAGAAATCAACCAGTTAAAATTACAAAATGGGAGTTTCTCAGTTTGAGGTTTGGAGCACTCAACAACAGGAAAGTTAGCTTGGATTTGGTCCCAAAGTTCTATGTGAAAGTACCCATGAAATATGAAGATTTAACCAGCTTCTGTAAATTTGATGCTTCTTTATATCTGATGCTTATTATATAGGACAAGAACTGACTTGAATTTTGGAAGTCCAACAAGTACAAAACATACAACATTAGGAAAGGTGAATAATGATGAAAGCTGATGTGAAAACTTCATGAAATGTAATCATATTTGCTATTATCAGTTTTCTAATAAGGATTTGCTAGGATACTGCACGAACAGGTTTGAATTGATAACTAAGCTGTTAGAAAATGGCTTGAGGTAATTACCAAAGCAAATCAATCTGTTTAATTACAGAGAACCAATATTCATAATTTACAGACTTAGGATAGCAGTACACTAGTCACACTTTTAAAACCAAAGTCACCTGCATATATGCTTTAAAAGTGCTAGGAATTCAGAAGCACATCTATTTTCCTCTGCCTTCTCTTGTTAGAATTCTTGATATCTGTGCTCATTTGTGCTAGATTTTTAAAGTTCATAGGTATTAAAAATATACAATTCATTGTTGCAGTCTCTCTCAACCCGAAATCTTTCACCCTATTACAATGAAGTAAACTATAAGCCCCATTATTTAGAACCAGCATGGAAGTCTGGTGCAAGGCATATATCATATTATCCCTAAGGCTGAACTGAATGAGGGAATTCATAACGTTTCCTGAATTTGGCATGGTGAAGCAAAAATGTCCTTACCCATCTCCTTACCATTGCAGTGCTCATTCTGTATGATCATGTGATCATCTTCTGCCCAAGCAGAGTAGTAACGGACAACATGGGGATGATGACCAAGCACTGCATGCGCATAGACTTCCCGCAAAGCCATCTGCCTGCAAGCAGACGCAGAAAGAGAGAGACATAATTCCAACTAGGATCATGTTACAAGGATTTTGACAGGAAAGGGTTTCAGAAGCTGTTCTGGAGATACCTTAGCTTGGTTCCCACAGCAGACTATACTAGCAGCTGGGTTCATTCAACTCACTAAGCTAAAACCAAGCAAATCACCTTGCTTACTGCAATACAGGAATCCAGTTTATTGAAACATCTGAGGAGATTTTCAGTCATGGTTGTCCCAAAGGTGCTTTTCCAAGGCACACTATTATGGCACTCCAACAGTGAGTGAAGATTAATCATTCTGGGGATTTCAGGAATTTTAAGGAATAAATGCATGCCTCAGAGCTTTCACTTTGATTTTAATCTACCATATGTAAAATTGGGAGCAAAGTATTTGCCCATATGTACTCTTTGAAAGATGTATGGCCACATACTTTTGTATCACTGGACCAAAGAAAAAGCTGCTTTGAAGGACAAGATGAAAAATCTGATGGCTTTAAAAAAAAATTGCCCTAAATTGTTTTAATGTCACCTTTTTTCAAGGCTCTGTCATAGCAAATAGCAACATACAGCTGGCCTTGGAAAAAGCTAAACAGTCCAGTTTATACTTGAATGGGAGCATCCAGGAGTTCCCAGGACTATAGAAAAAACTAAGAAGTTTTTTTAAAATATTCCAGAAGGCAGGGGCACAACTATCAATAGGTTACCAAGAAAACAACATGAATGGATATCTGTAGAGATTTTCAGTCCTCCAGGTCATGTTTGTCCCAAAGGTGCTTTTTCAGGAGGCAACTGGACTTCCTTGTTTTTTATTTTGAAAACGTTTCGCTTCTCATCCAAGAAGCTTCTTCAGCTCTGACAGGATGGTGGGGAGTGGAAGGATTTATATTCCATGCAGACAGCTGGTCACTTGCATCCTTTTAGAGATTCAGTTGCCTCCTGAAAAAGCAACTTTGGGACAACATGGATGGATCCAAGATTTAAGCTCAATCCGAGAAAGACATTTTCAAAGCCTACCTAAAGTCTACTGATCTGTATGCTGTCAAGAAAACATAACAGAAGATGTACTGTTTGGTTTCAGAAATTCAGAACAAAATATTGCCATCATTGGAGGAAGAAGGGTGGCATGTACGGAGATATTTATAATTTTACACTTACTCATCTGAGGAGCCAGCAAGGGGTTTCTTTGAGCGTTTAATGGCATAGACACAACCATCCAGCCTTTTGATGCACTTATAAACAGAACCAAATTCCCCCACACCAATCTTCTCCAGCTCCAGGAATTCCTTCTTGTAGCGGGAAACCATGTTGCTCTCACGCAAGAGGAATCTCTAAGGATGGATGAGAAGAATAGATAAGGCTGCCTTGCTCACCAAAGATAGAGGAGAGCTTGTTGATCTCCTGTAATACAAAATCTTACTTCAGGCTCCTCCAAGCCTTTCCAAATTTGATTGTTTCTAGATGTAGAGGACTATGTTCCATCCTCAATCTTTTTAAAGTGTAATCCTTTGGACAGTTATTTGAGTTTATACAATAGATTATAAAGTAACAAACCATAATTTTCAAACCATAGTAACTAGGTTCCAGAGCTTCTAGCCTGGAAACAACAGTGATACTACAGTGAACACAGCAGTGGAAAGCATTTTATGGCAGTCCAGTTGTTTGTGAATTAAAATATCAAGCATCCCTAGGAAACATGGCTAAGGAGAAGGATGCTGGGAGTTATACTTCAATATCTAGACCCCTTCAGTATCTGACTATGTAAACATAGTCACAATCAAATTCCTGTTAACTGTCTTCTATATCCTATCTTTACACTCTGACTAGGATTATTTCAGCATCAAAGCAATCTCTTTTCTACCCCTTTTCTCCAGTCTTGATTTCCTTAACCATTTTGCTTGAACAAGAAATCCAGAGATCTTCAACTCCTGCATATTTCTGACAACTCTTTTAGGTGGTTTGTTGAAAATACTGCTCTTAAATGAATAAGGTTTCACCTTAATTAGGAGCCCACCCTTTCCTTTTATTTCTCAAGGCCAAAGGCAAAAAAAGATGCTAAAGAAGGCCAAAGGTATATTTTAGAATCAGCCTGGTTTTCTACCAAAAGAGGGCAATGTTGCTTTATCCCTTCTACATTTCTAGTAGAAAATAAAAATCCACCTTGTAAACCCTAGTAATTGTGCTGTGACTCAAGGGGGAGGATAATACGATATTTGAGAAGGAGAACACAACAGCAGAAGGTATTTACTGCTCAGTAAAACTGTTCTTCTCTCCCCCCACATCATAATACACTTTAAGGAGCTTTGTCTTCATTAGGTGTTCAATTAGAGACTTTTAATTGCCTAATTTCTCCTGCTGTAATTAATAGTAATTTGTAACAATGGTAAGAAAAGAATTCAGAGTTCAATAAACTAGTTTTCTTCCCAACTTCCAAAATCTCTTCTCCTTAACAGGCCATAGTTTTCCATATCTACAAATGGGAGGTACAAAATATTTATTCCATTTTAGAAGTTTCTAAATACATTTTAAAAAATGAGGGAGTTTTGCTTTGAAGGCTAATTAAAATATGGAACTCTTTAATAAAAGTGTAGCATAATCAAATAAGGAATGGTTTTTGTAACTGGGATTTTCTTAGCCTTCAGAACATTATTTTCAGTTATAGTAAAACTGTTCGTATATTTTGGTTTGGGATTCTTTTCCTCTTAAATGGAAGCAATCCAAAACATTTACAGAAAATGCAGAAATTAGCACTAAAGTGTGAAATGAATATCAGAACAGTATCCTCATCACCCCTGAAGTCAGTAAGATAATTCAGAGATTGAATTCCCAGTACCTGGAACATTTCTGCTCTCCAATTTAGCAGAACTGCAGATATACAATGATACACAATGACCATTTTCGACTCATTTCAATAGTTAGACAATCTCTCAGACTAAAGTCTTCGGGTATTCCATATCATAATGCATGGATATGCAATGCTTTGGATCTGATTCTAACCATGCAATACAGTGACGTGGTACCTCCTTAAAGCAGTCATATCTTTTCCCAAGACCATAGAGATCTGCAAAGGGCAGCCATCGGATTATGTACAGCAAGGGTGTCAAACACAAGGCCCGCGGTTGGGCCTTGTGGTCGGATCCAGCCCGTGGGGCCAGCCTGGAAAATGTAAGGGGCCGGCCCATGTCACTTCGCCCGGTCTCCCCAATGCAAAGAGGAAACATGCCAGTGGTTTGGGGAGTGACATCAAGCTGGCCATGCCCACCGAACTGGCCACACCCACACTCACCTAGTCGGTCACACCCAGTGAGTGGCAGTAAACTGGCCATGCCCATCCAGTTGGCCACACCCGTCCAGTCGGCCAAGCCCCCCCTCCTGCCACCACCACCCCAGGTCTACTACAGCTCTGATGCAGCCCTCAATGAAATTGAGTTTGAAATAGAGTTTGACCCCTGATCTACAGCTATTACAAACACAGACACATTGCACTGTTGCCCTCTTTGTTTCTTTCTCCTTACACACACTAAAGTACATATTAACATGAATTAATGTATATATTTTTCTTCGAAAATGTGTTCCAAATCATGATTTCTCTATTGTTCAAGGGTAGTGCAGGTATTTTTCCTTCAAGCAAATGAAGCAAAATTGGGTGGTATTTGTTTATCTCTTATTACTCACCTTGGCAGGCATTCCCAGCTCCATTGGTCCATTTGTTTGGTTGGAATCCTCTCTAAAATGATAAGTTTAATCACATGTATGAGTTTCATATTCCAATGATGTGTGAACCTTCTAAATATTTAAATATTAGTAGTTTCTATGGGTTTCATATCTGGATTCATTGCTGTGAATCCAGATCGCTGGTACATGGTAGCCAAGAGTTTTCAGTAATTTTGCTATCATATAATTATTATTAGATTATATATATTTTTTGCAGCCAAGGTCCGGTAGCACTATTATTTTGGAGATATGTTCAGGCTCTATGAAGGAGTTACATAGGCACTTCTGCAGCTTAATATTCAAAGAACTGAAAATCATTCATTTTAGAACCCCAGCAGATGCACCCTTGAACTTGGGAGTAGTTAGTAATTTAGATTTTTCATAAAGAAACAATTCTCTATCATATTGAAGTTATGAGCCTAAATAAAATAATTAAATAATACGGGGAATGACAGTATGCTATTCTGAGCTGCCTTGGAAGGAAGCCTAGAACTATGGCAGGTTAGCAAGATCAGGTCAGACATCTTTTTGTCCAGTGTGTGCAGCTGTGTGGTAACTCCTCAGTGAACAGGCGAGCACACTATAACAAACACTTAATAATGAGTGTCACTGTTGTGGTATTGCGTGAGGGCTCAGATTTTTTTTTTTCTATACTAGGCCAACAAACTAAGCATGGATCTACAATACAGGCTTAAATCAATTTTACACCCAATTTTCAGACAACCTGGGAATTACCATTCTGCAAAAAAGATCAATTTAAAATCTATATGAAGCTGCTGAGCAAGGTCATTCCCGGCATGGGGTTTGGTATCAATGATACTAAGCTATACATGCCTAATCTACGCCAAACAATTAATGCTATTCAAGAGCTTGCTTGGTGCCTGGAGCTGTAAGGATCTGGATAAGGAGAAAGTGGCTGTGACTGAACCTTAGCATGAAGGACTTGTTATGTTTGTCCCCTCCCCCCTTAACCCACACCCTGGAAAGGAGCAAATGGGGGTCCTTCAAGAGTCATAACTCTTTCAGGTCCGGTTTGCAGGGCTTTGGCGGCAGGCAGGAATCCGCGATAGTGCACGGTTTCTGCCTGGGCTCACCGCTGGAGCGCCCCGAGCCAGCTGGCTTCGGGGCTAAGCCACCCCGTAGAGGTGGTGAAGAGGGGGGAGATCCCAGCAGGGTCAAGGAAAGCCGCATCTTTCCTCCTCAGCTGGCTAAACTCCCTTTCCCGAAGGCGGTAAGAGCGGCGGTCAGAAATGGCCGCCTCAAAGAAGCACTCATCCGGAAAAGAAAGTGCAGGAGGAAGTTAAGAAGTGAAAGTTTTGGCTGACCGGGATAAGAAGCAACAACTAAGGTATCCTGGAATTTAAATTTTATAAAAGATACATCGCTCCCAAAGAAGACTCAGAAGCAGCGAATGAAAGTGAAAATGGAAAGTTTTTTTTTCCACTCTCCTTCCTTATGTTGACAGCGAAGAGAGATGAATGAGAAATTGGAAAAATCCACTTTGGCAATTTGGTAATTAAACTGGAAGTATAATTAAATGCACAAAGATTTCAACAAAGATTTCTGAACACTAAAAAAAATTTTTTTTGTTTGTTGCTATAAGTGGGAAGGGAGAGGAAAAGAATAAGGGCAGGATTTGGAAGGAGTCTGCCTGGAATTCAAAAGAATCTAAAGTTAAATCTTAATAAGACTTCTAAAAGATACATTTTAACTGGAACTTTGCAACTAAATAGTAACCCCAGGAAGAGAAAGTGAAAAAAGAAGAAAGTGTTAAAAGAAACAGCTTATGTGTATTTGGATTGCTTGGTGACTTTGGGACTTCTGGAAATTATATTTGAATGACTAAAAACAATTGGGTGGTTGTTTAAAAAAATCTACAATGGCATCACTTGTGGATGAACTGAAAATGGAATTAAAAAAATATAAAGAAGAGGAACAAGAAGGGAAGGGCTCTTTTGGCTCCGTTTTTCAATTCTTAGAAATGGCGATCTGTACCTATGAGAAACTACAAGAAAAGACTGCGCAACAAGAAGATTGGGACAAAGAAGAAGCCATCTTTAATGAACAAGTAACTTTATCTGGGGAAGAAAGGGGAAAGGGGGGAAAGAGAATGGAGAATTGAAGACCTAAAAAAACAGCCAAAAAAGGGAAAAATAATGTGAAAAGTGGATATAATGTTAGAAAGCAACAGAAAAGGGGAATACAGAAGAGGGAAATGGAGGTGGAGAGACAAGGGGGTAAAAAGGGCAGAGTGAAGAAGCAAGGGAGGAAGGAAGGGAAGAGAAGCTACAAAGGTCTGAAACAAGATGTAAAGAAACAGGATTTATTTAGAGAGGTGGATCAAATTACCAAATGAGCTGGGATGGTTCAATTGTGTTGAATATATCTAAGCAGAAACTAGACAACACTGTGTCATGGATGCTTCAATTTGGATTAGTCTTTGGATCAGAGAGTTACACTAAGCAGTCTAAATTCTAACCTTATGATTCTGCAGAGATGACTACCTGGTCATCTTATTTTGCATCCTTTGAGAAATATCTTAGGAAGAAAACACTCACGACTCCCCTCTGGCTTTCCTCTTGCCGCTGGGATGGAAGACCATCTGACGATACGATTCAGGTGTAAACGGATTAATATTAACCAAAGAAGCTGAAGGAGCCTCCTCTGGGTCAGGACAGGAAGTGAATCGCAAGTTCCTCATCCCTTTGGAGGGAAATTTTCCCACAGGTGAAGGGAAAGCTGTCTTACTTAAGAGACTCTAGAGCAAAAAAACAAAAAAAAAATTGCCCATGGGAAAACCTCTATAGCAGGGCTGTCAAACTCGCGGCCTGTCGGCCGAATGCATCATGCACTGGCCACGCCCACGCCCAGTTTAGCTAAGGGGGGAAAAAGTCCTGATATGTCATGTGACGCTGCTATGACGACATGACTTTGAGTTTAACTGCTTTATAGCACCAGCATTTTACAACTTCCCAATTTATAGGGCGAAAGACCTAATATTCCCCAATATCAAAATACATTATGCAGTCCTCTACTGCATTTCAGAATCGTTGTACGCGTCACACACAACAACCTTTTTACTAAACTTAAGTTTACTAAACTTAAATTTGATCTAATGCGCTCAGATGGTCTTGTGACACTCAAGTTGGGAAAAAACCCAACATCTATCCACTTTGATACCACCTTGCAGAAAGCAAAGATTTCATTCTCCACTTTGCAGAGAAACACCAGAAATCCAACCCATTCATTTGTTGGAGGCTTACAATCCAAGCGTTCTCCCATATTTTACAATTCCCAAAGAATAAGCAAGAGATAAATTATGCATTATTATCATCATTATCATCACCATCATCTTTTAACAACCCCATAATCCTGTGTGAGTTGGAGTCTGGGCAACTGAATGAAGCTAGCAGAGTGTTTAATGGCTGGATGCTCTTCCTGTCACCAATGTGGAGATTTGTTCAGCAGATATATTTTCATTGTGCTCAGAGAGAGAAATATCTGCCTCTACCTAGGATCAAACTCACAACCTCCTGACTGTGAGGTGAGAGCTCTACCTCTAGGCCACCGCACCACTCCAGATATACTTTGTTTAGTATAATTTGAATGCAGCTCATTACTATGCATACATTAAATGTATATATTATGCAGCAGAGTCTAATAAAACATTGTTCATGCTCGAATGCATCATTTTATTAAAATCTCAAAATGTCCCTTTTGGTGCTCTTCAAGTAGCAAGCTTAGATTCATCTTTTTGAACCTTATTATTATGTCTGGGCACACTGTTTTGGATTCACCCCAAACAATTCAAAGCTGAACACTAATGGAGGTCTATGTCGCCTCTCCTCTAATAAACTCATAAAGTCTTATCTGACATGACCAATTTCACTTAAAACAGCAGATACGTTTTATGGACCATAAATCCAGAAGCAATTAGCAATATTAAGTTTCAAGTATGATGAAAGACTGAAGATCAAGAATATGCTCTTACAGTAGTTGGCTTGGATACTCTCAGAAGAACAGATTGTGAATTATTATTGCCACCATCACCATACCTTTGGAGTATTCGGGGTATCACAGAGTTGCAGCTTCTGCCAAGTAACATAATGCAAAGGAGTTCCAGGGTAATCTTCCAAAGGGACAGTTTTCTTTCGCAAAGAGTCCCTACATCTCCTGACAGGATTCACCCAAGAACCTGGGCGTGCTGGAGAACAATCATTCAATTGTCTCTGAGGGGTCACTGGGAAAGGAGAATGTGTCCTCCAGTTCTGAAACTCACAATTTTTCTGTGGAGTGGCATGCTTCACATCTTCCATTCTTAAACCATTATCCTCTTCCAACTCACTGTCTTCTCCACATCTGGAAAAATCCAGCCTCTGTATGAGTTTGTTACTGCTGCTCCAATCATCCATTGCAGCTGAAAAAGGAAGACATATCATGCTAAGACATAATTTAATTAGAGTGCTGACTGTGGCTTAGAGAGGCTCAAGGTAGCTCACACATGGTGCTGCTAATAGATTAGTGCAATAGATAAACCCAACCAAAACCAGTCTGGATTTGAGACATCAAATTATGCTTTGCTTATCTATGATTCGATTAAACCCCAAGCAACTGGATTGAAACAAAATGGCTCCAGAATTCAAAGTTAGATTCAGAAACCATCTTAAAATTTAACATGTGTGAATTCACCCAGAAAGTATTTCACAAAAAGATAGGAACTCTGCATAGTAACCATCACAATCCTAAAATTAGATATGCCAAGCTTGCATCCTAGATGATGAGCTTGTTTCTCCAAACCAAGGCCAATTCTTTAAAAAGCTTTTAGTCTCTTCTCTCAAGGACTTGATTAACTTTTATTGTAAAGTGTCTTGATTTGTTCCTAATCAGATAACTGCTGCTAGCTGTTCAGAGGCAAGCTTTGTGTACAGAGCACCAGCTTGAAACGGCCCCTATTTTATATTCAGATTAAAGAGAACACTATCTGGAAGGATAAATAGTCCTTTAAAAAATGGCAGGCTGCTATATTATTTTTCAGTGAAATCATGGCACAATATTCTATTAAAGTAACATGCTGTGTGTGCTAAAAAGGAAATAACCCAATTCAATCTAGTACTCTACAGCACATTTTCAGGTAAGCTTGAGTGGGATAAAATATGCACTCATTTGAGGCAAACACATGTCATATAAGACTTAAGTCAGCCAGCTGATATATAAATAAATAAAAGAAAGGTTGGATATAATGTCTCTTTTATGTAGTCTTCCAACCAGAGAAGAAAAGGTTTCTGCAGAAACAAAAACATTGAACCAGCTAGCAAATATTGCCTTACTCTCAACCCTTTTATGACAGAAAAACTTATTCAGTACCCCAACAGAAGTTGCAGCAACTCAACTGATACTGAAGCACAGTAGCATCAGTTCAAACTTATCCTTGAGCTTCCTGTTAAAACCACTCATTAGGCCTTATGGATTATGCTGGAGGAGTTTTACAAACATCACTTCCTGCATATCCTCTGTGTTCTCTAAAGTAATTCTGTAAAAACTTGCATCCTCTGTGTTCTCTAAAGTAATTCTGTAAAAACTTGCATTGCTCGGTGAGTCACTCAGAATTAAATGAAATTGCAGGATGAGTTGATGGACCTTAACCAAAGGCAAGACAAGGATGGCTTTAAACAGAACACAGATCACTGAACTAGTTCTGGGGAAGGGAATCTTACAGTTTGGAACTAATTTGCCACTGCCTGCTTCCAAAATATCTTTTACTATCAACAATTTTCTGGTCTCTGATCCAATTCTAACTAGGATTAGGTTCATCTCTGCTTAGGTTTTTGAAATAAGCCCAAGTCAGCTAGATCCTTCTATCTAGCAAGTGATTGAGACTCTGGAATTTTCAGGTAAAATTTGGGAAAGATTTCCAGTCTGAAACATGAAAACTATTGCCATTAAAAGGACCAAGGTATGCTGGAGACCAAAGTTTTGCAAACTTGGCAGCTTGAAGATATGTGGACTTCAACTCCCAGGATTCTTCAACCAGCATGCTGGCTGGCGAACCCTGGGAGTTGAAGTCCACACTACTTCAAGTCACCAAGTTTGAAATACAGTGATCAGTGTCCACTATTTATGAAAAACACTGGAAGGATCAGAGGTGGTATTCAGGTTCTGACCAGTTTTGGAGAACCTGTAGCAGAAATTTTGAGTAGTTCAGAGAACCAGCAAATTCCCCCTCTGACCGGCCTCGCCCCCTTCCATTATCTGCCTCCCAAGTCCCAGCTGATTGGCTGGGTCTTCTTTTGTTGCCCTGCACAGGAGAATGGAGCTGGAAAGCAGGTTAGTGGGGTGGGGAGGGAATGGAGATTTTGCAGTATCCTTCCCCTGTCACACCCACCAAGCCAGGTCCACAGAACCGATATTAAAAAAAATTTGAATCCCACCACTGGGAAGGATGATAGCAAAAAGGAAAGGAAAGAGAGCCAGTTTGGTCTATTGGGTAAATAGCAGGCTAGAACCTGGGACACCATGAGTTCTAGTTCAGCCTTAGCCATGAAAGCTGGCTGGGTGATCCTTGGACCAATCACTCACTCACAATCCAACTCACCTCACAGGGTTGTTGTTGTGTGGGAAACAGGGGAAGGAAGGTGTGTTGGATATGTTCACTGCCTTGAATTATTTGTAAAAATAATAGATGGGATATAAATAATAAACAAACAAATAAACATATGCCTCATTGCTTCAGTTTGGAAATTGATAGCCCAGTGATGAAAATATTAATATTGTATTAACATGCAAAAAAGGGTTTAGTTAATACTCCAACTAAACAGGTAAACCTCCAGTATTGCAAACCATTTTCTCTAATTTCATATTACCAGCCAATTAAAAAAAAACCTTTCATTTTGTGCTTAATAAAAAGCTCCACCAGAAGTGTGGATTCTCACATGGGTGAGCCAAATCGTACAGATTTATCCAAAAGGAAAACTTTTTGGATAACAATCAACAGAGCTTGTGACTGACGAGACTGCTGTCTTGTAAAAACATGGCTTGTTTTCAGACACACAGATTTATAATTTTAAATATGATAGGCAAAATAGGAGACAAATGTGCTTTGGATATGTTCACTGCCTTGAGTTGTTTGTAAAATTAATAAGAGCATGATGCAAATCTACTTAGCGCATGTAGGATTTAATATCTGACCGCACTGGACACTTAGGAAGTAATTCCCATTGGAATTATGTCTATCAGTAAACAGTGTGTTATCTAATATTGTCTGGGATTTATGGCCTTCGTATTTAATCAGGTTACTAAAAGATCTTAGTATGTCATTGACATGCAATTATTTTTCCTGTTTGTGGTTGATTTTCCATCTTACAGGGTATTGTGTGTGAGCTGTTTTAAAGTACAGGGATATTCACAGGGTTGGTATTATTCACATCCATCACCAGAATCATTTTGAATGAGGTGGTATATGACCCAGGACTGACATATTACATAGTAAGTAATTGCATGAGAAGGCCTGTAATCCTTAAAAGCCCCTGCTCACAATATTACAACCATAATCTGGTTTTAGTGTATTGTGTGGAACCCAGTCATAATGGTTTATAATGTAAAATTCAAGCCTGGTGAAGTGATCATTCAATAAACCAAGCTGAAGCCTAGCCTGAGTTAGGATAAGGTGTGTGAACCAGCCAAATTATTATATTTTGGTTCATTTAGTACAATTTAGACTCCTCCTTCCCTATGTCCAGGTGCCTTGCCAAGCTTGCTTAATTTTCATTCTGGCAAATACTTGTTGTGGCTGATGTTATGAAAACTGAAGCTGTGTGGTTAGTTCAACGTTATTATGCAAACCCCACGATTCAGCCACGTTTAAAGATGATGTGCCAAAGCGAATTGGTCCCTGACCATGTCACCAATGGCATGATGATGATGATAACAATAACAATAACAACAACAGTAACAACAACAATCATCATCATCATATCTCGTTGGCAAAACTCTGAATGCAGATCCCATAGGCCCCATCTAGTGGTCGTCGGAAATTTTGCAATCCAGATCTGGGTCTCCACTCTGAGGAAATGCACAGCCCAGCTATAAACACCACAATACTCAGAAATAACATAACGGTGGTCTTAGCGGATAGCGGACCTTACAGGGAACGGTTGTGAATTTCAATGCTACCGAGCGGACTGACGTTCAATGCGAGTAAAGCTTTAAATTCTGTGGGGGAGGGGCGGTTGTTTTTAACCGAAGTGAGATTCACTTCTGGCCGGAGCTTGAGTAGGATCCGGCTTTCCGGCGCTGCAATCCTTATGCGCTTCTATTCCAGAGCCAGCTCCAGTCCGACGGGCGCGGGAGGGTTGCTTTCCCATTAAAGCCATGCAGAGGACCTTCCAGCTTCGCCCGGGCTTGCGTCCGCGATCGGGGCGCCGGGAATCCTTCCCCAAGCCAGGCCCGTCGGTTTCTCCTTGGAGGCTCGGCCGGGGGGGAGCCCAGGCAGGCAGTCGGTGACGGGGGAGGCGGAGATCGAGCGATCGCGGAGGCTGCTCAAGCGCCGCCCTTCACCTCAGCGCGCCGCAGCTGGCCGGCCATGGTGGAGCAAGCCGACGACGCGCCGCTCCTCTTCTGGGCCGAGGGCCCGGCCGTCTCCTTACCGGAGCCCGGGGAGCCCGGCACCTGGAGGGGCTGTGGCTCCACCACCTCCTCCTCCTCGGCGTGGAGGAGCGGCAGCAAAGGGGAGCCGGTGGTAGTCGGTCCCGGGAGGCGCCTCCGGGAGCAGGAACCGGCGCAGGTGGAGGAAGACCAGATCGTGGCAGTGTTCGTGGTCACTTTTGACTCCCGCACCGGTAAGCTGGGCAGAGGTCCGTCAAGCCAGGGATGGGAAGCTGGATCTCTTTTCGTGGGGAGGGGAGAGGAGGAAGGATCCCCTCACCCCCTGTGCGACCCAGAAGGGCAGCTAAAGGATGGCTTGTCTTTACAGCAGCAGACTCTCTGCAAGCATTCTCCAGAGCCAGGGATTTGCACCAGAGTCTTTTTTTCTTTTGGGGGGAGTTCAGACGTCCAGGTTTCCAAAACCGAGCCTTTCTGACCATGTCCAGACTGCGGCTCTATCTTCCTCCCCATCAGTTTCTCTCTGGTTGAGCCTGGGGATTAAAGTGCAATAAGCTATCTTTGGCTTTTTGTTTTTTATTCAGAGGTTGAGAAACCGTGGGTGTCTCCAGCTTCTGCCTGGGGTACCTAGAATTGAAAATACGTTTGGTGCATATAAATTTCTAGCTTGGAGGGGAAATCCTTTGGGTAGATGGCTTCATTTAGATAGGCTTGCACAAAGAGATCGTTCTTCCTTATTTTGGATGCATATTAGCTATTGAAACCCAGGACTTTCCAAACTTATTCAGTCCAACAGAAGATGGGAATTTAGCAGTTCCCAAAATTATAGGATTGTTCCCTATACATGGCCCACGCATTGGTGGGATGAAATGTCTTGGAAAAGAGCGTTTTTGAACATGATATAAAACACACACACAATTCTAGGCCTCATGTTGTTCCATCCGCCTCATTCCTTCTTTTTCCCCCACTTACACTTTACTGTTTTTAATGGGGAGGGGGAGAGGTTATTCAGGAATGAGTAGATGCCGAACCTGTCCAGTCTGTTTGGTCTTGAGATCCATCAGCAGACCCAGGCCAATGGAACCTGTCCAATCTGTTTGGTCTTGAGATCCATCAGCAGACCCAGGCCAATGGATACGAACATAGATATGGACACAGAGTTAAATAACAGGCTATTGGTGTTCAGATGCTAATTGTCTCAAGTGTTCAGAGAGTAGAAGCTATGTACATTTTCCATTTATCCATATTCTGTCACCTTCAAATGGAGAGGGCAATTGAAGGTAAGGATGCTTCTTGAGTGTCTTTGGAGCTTTCCTACACAATGCAGAACCTAGGAAAGTCATGTATATATGTTCCAAGCCTAGGAATTTGTTTCCTGAACTGCTATGGACTTACGTGGTTTGCTTGTGGTTCCATCTATATCCTTTTTTCCTTTCTTATGCAGCTTCATGGGGTGGGAAGTTATAGCCCGAGATAAAATATTGGGAGTCAATCTTCTGAAAATCACTAACCTCTCATCATAATTCCCGATCTCTCTCCTCTCTCTTTTTCTCCCAGCAATAGGATAAATATTGTACAATAGCATATGTGTATAAATTGTACTATATTTATGTCTTGTTCCTTTCTATCCTCCCAGTTTTAGGAACTCTGTTCACATTAGAAAATACTTCATTTACAGAAAGAAAGAAAAAAGACCCTCCCCCTCCAATATTTTCCCCTTCAGCTGCTGTAATAGTCAGATCACTCAAACAGTGATTTCTGCCCTATTTTTGCTGAACAAGTCTATATACCAAGAACAATCCCTGGTTTGTGGTCTTGACTTGACTAGGAACAAGCCTTGGCTTGGCTAGTTGGCTTTAGTGTTCCACCTGGCAAGAGGAATAGGCTACATGAAGGGTAAATCATGATTCTTTTGGAATCTGTGTTACCTTTCCAGCCATCGTATGGACTTTACCATTCTGTGGAAGTAGAGACCCTTGTGTAACGTGTGAGGGCTTGGTGTAATGTTCACAGGTCACAGAAAGCAACTGATCTGGATGTTTTGTTCCTTATCTCCTAGCAGTCTAAAGATCAGTCAGGATGGTTCCCCACTAAAGAAAAAAATCCTGTGTATCCAGAAACTTTATTTCAGTACTGCCTCAATCCTAATGATGCTGTTGGCAGGTGCCAATTTTAGATATCACATTACACTGAATCATTCAGTGACAAGTATACAGGCATCTCAGAAGCAAGAGTATCTGCATGTGTGTGTGTGTGTGTGTGTGTGTATGACTCACATGATCAAAGTCTTGCCTTGTGTTATATGCTTATGAACATTGCACGCATGTGGAAAGTATTGTAGAACAGTCAAGATGTGTATATGTATTAACTGATTCCTATATTCCTGAAATGAGCTTTCAATTTTGAAACAGGTTCTGGGTAAAGTTATCTGTGGTTTCCTTGTAAGAACTAAGTCGTCATTATTGCAACATTTGGGTGATGTAACCTTTTTTTTTTTTGTATTTGCTGTTCTTCAGAACATCTAAATACTTCCTTTTCTTGTGTGGGTTTGTTTGCTTTCTACTCTGTCTTCATCCTTGGACAGGAGTATGGATTCACAGTTGCAATTATATTCTTTGCTAACTTATATCGCCAATGGTGACATGACGCCATCATTTTAAAAAGCCTTTATACAGGTAGTTCTTGACTTACAACAATTCATTTAGTGACTGTTCGAAGTTGCAACGGCACTGAAAAAAGTGACTTGTGACCATTTTTCACAGTTATGACTGTTGCAGCATCCCATAATCACGTGATTTACATTTGAATATTTGACAGCTGGTTTATATTTATGATGGTTGCAGTGTCCCAGGGTTATGTGCTTATCTTTTGTGACTTTTTGACAAACAAAGTCAATGGGGAAGCCAAATTCACTAAACAACTGTGTTAGTAATTTAACAACTGCAGGGATTCCCCTTAATAAGCAAGGAAAGTTGTAAAATGGGGGCAAAACTCACTTAACAAACTTCTCACTTAGCAACATAAATTTTTGGCTCAATTGCAGCCGTAAGTTGAGGACTACCTGTATAGGCTAAAGTTAGACTACTTCTTTTCAGCCCTCTGATCACAGCTCCCCCCCAAAAATGCTGGCACACCTTTTCTGCTATTTCAAGGCAGGATACTGGCCAAAAGTAGTATCAAGCTTAAATATTACATTAGAATAGAATAGAATAGAATAGAATAGAATAGAATAGAATAGAATA